TAGATTTTCAGAAAGGCCAGTCTCAGCATCTCTCAGGGCCACAGCTCCCACCCTCATTTCAGGGGCAGCATCAATCCTCTCCTCCAGCACAAACCCTGATGCCCTGATTTCATTCCTCTAATCAAGGAGCTCCTTGCTGTTTGCCTTCCACATTGCTTTACTAGCAGGCAGCCCAGTAGAGAGCTGCTTGATTTGTGACTGTACAGAAGTGAGTGCTGATAAAGACAATTAATTAATGGTATGGATTTCCCAGCAGAGTTCTCAATTAGCGTGAGCTGTTTGCCAGCCGGCCGCAGTGCAGATCACAGTGCATGTGCACCCCGAACCACAGCCAGTGTATTCAGTGGGGCAGAGGGTGGCTTTCATCAGGCCTTATGGTTTCCACCTCACATTGTCTGTAGAAACTGGGAAAAAAGGGGTCTTTTCATGATGAACAGTTACAATACAGATCTTTGGGTAAAGATGTCATTGCTGCCATTAAATACTTGGCTGTCATGTTCGTGCTGCTCTCCTGGGCATGGTCATGCAGCAAGCTACAAAGTGAGGATCTTCTGGCTGCCAGGTTATTCCTACCCAGTTTACTTCCTACTTAAACTGGTCATAGACTTACTTGAGTTGGGCAAGTGCTCTGTCATTGAGCCCAGCCATTCCACCACTAAATCATGTCCCCGGCAGTGCATGATACAGAAGAATGGAAAGGGAGGAGAGGCGTAACCCTAGGTAGTCTTAAACTAGGAGGAAAAGTGTGTTACAAGGTCCCATAGTAACAAGAAGATGCTGATGAAGTTCAAATGGGAAATGAAATACAAGTATTAGCAGAATGGATATGCAGTTTCTGAACTGTCTGCCAAGGGAGGTGGCAAAATCTCAGTCAAGGGCCTGTCTGCATGAGCAGCCAAAGATATCCCCAAGTATCTCAGGTGCCTTCTGAGACCTCCCCCCTGCTAAGCACCTCCCCAACCACTGGCAAAGGGTTTTTGTGGAAGGAGCATTGCTGAGTTCAGCCCCGAGACAGGCTTTGAAAGGGGAAAGTCCCTCACCCATGCTTTGTGGGGCTTGCTGAGCATCACAACACTGCTTTTCAATAGCCTCAACTTCTCCAACATGGTCAAGGGCAGCAATTCAGCTTCTCATCCAAGAGCTGCTTCTGCCAAAAATACGAGGAGTTGCTACAGTTTGCCTTTTTGTTACAAGTTCTGGTCCTTTGGTCACGATGACCCCCATAAATAAAAGAGCTAATTAATGCCCATCTCCTCCCACTGGTGATTGACTATGACCTTGAGTGACCTTGCTTAATTTAACTTTCTCAACCAGCTATTTTTGACAGCGAACAATTTAACATCCTTGTGACCCCAGTCTTGCGTCTCTTCTGCCAACTGGCTCTGCAGTTTAAATGAACAGCAATAAATAAATACATATCTGCAGAGGGACCTAAATGACTCCCATTACTGGAGCATCTGAAGGCCTGCCTAAATAAATCAAGTGAGTAGGAGATTATGCTGCAATCATGTGGAGAGGGAAAGGAGAGAATACATTACTGGTATTCCAGAGGCTGCAACTCAGGGATGAAAAACTTTGCAGAATTCTGAACAATAAGATTTAATTCAAGTGCAGATGGACAACCAGAGGCTCATTTGGTGATGTCTTCAAAGAGGAGCAGCAGATTGCAACCCGATGGGATCACTCACCAGAGTTAGAACTCTCCCCAGGCAGCTCCTGCCTTGGGGATGGGGCTGTTGGAGGTTGCTCCCTGAATCTCCATGGCAGAAAAGTGAAGATACAGGCACCAACTGCCCACCTGCAATTATCTCACTTTTCTCACCCAGACATGTCCTCGGGAGGGGAAAGCTGGCCTTGCAGGAGCAGGGATGGCAGGATTGAGCAGCTCTTCAACTCCCACTGCTTTGGGCAGGCAGACACTCAGTTTGAACCATCCCAGGATTAAATCTCACCTTGGGGGTCCCCAGAATGAGATGGAACAACAAATATTCCTGGGAGGAAGGAAAACCTCACTAAGTTATCTGCTTTGAAATCCCAGAGTGAATCATGATATTCTATTTGTTGGAGGAATCACCAGCTTCAGCTTTCCTCATCCACTTTGCCTTTTACCTTATTCCTACTTATTTTTGGGGTCTGGTTTTAAAGCATTGTTATTTCTTCCTTTCCCCTGCACAGCCTCCATGTCAGCCCTGTCACTGTGGCTTCATTTGCATGGCACTGAGGACACGTGAAGTGTCGTTATAAATCCTATTTACATAATTTTCCTTCCCCCACTGAGGCTGAAATCGAAAATGCAACTAAGTTAATCAGGAAGATCTGGGCCTGCCACAAGTGCAGGCTGGGGCTTCACTTCCCTGTGGGGCAAGAGGAATGTCTGGGGACCCACTTGCTGCTCAAATGTGGTGGAAGAGCTCCTCCCTAATGTTTTCCAGCTTTTCCCTAGTGCTTTCCAGCCTGCTAACAAAATAAAAGCCAGGCTCCTGCTGTTGATTTGTCTCAAAGGCGAGTCCTTTTTCTCTTTTCATTTTTCCTCTTTTTAATCCTTTCATCCAGCTCTGCACAGCATCACTCATCACCCCTGTGGGTGACAAACTTCACCCTGTGCCCCTCTGATCCCATGTCCCCAGCAGTGAGATCCTCCCCTTCAGCAGCTTTGGGGTCAAACTGGTGAAACAGCTCAGTAGGAAATTACTTTCTGTTAAAGCAAGCCCACACTGGCTAACTGGGCAAGAGGTACCTGTACTGCTGAGAGGAAGGACAGATGACCACACTAATTAATTTACACTGTTGGAGTGTCTCTCAATTAAAACACATCACAAAACAAAAGAGGCTCTATGCTCTCCTTGCCCTCCCAGGGGGCAGCAGCAGCACCTTCCATCCCTCCCCTCGTCTGCCTGGCAGCTGGTTTTAAGGCTATAAAGGGGATTCTGAGATTGGAGACCTGTTTAGGGTCTGCTCTTCCCCCTTAAAAATCTTCATAGACTGAGGGTTTGTCTTTTATTTCGTTCTTTGCCTTTTGCTGCTGGAGTTTCCCACCATGGAGGGATGATGGTTCAGCACTGAGAGGCTTGAATACAGCAGGGGTTAGGGTCATTTTCTTGGGTGATTTTAATGAGGGGACAGAACAGAGGTGTATGAAACACCTGGTTCTGAGCAGCCCTGAGATCTGTGGGGGAGAGGGGAAAACAAGCAAAGAGAAGGAAAATGTTAGAAAACAGCTTTTGCTGCCAAACGGAGCCTTAATGCAACTACAGATTTTTGGCTTTCCTATTCATTTAACTAATAAATGAATTGAAATAATTGTAGCACAAATATTGTATGAATTGAATAAGTAATGAAATTACAAAACTAACAGGAAAATGCTGTAATATGAGAAGTTCAGGAGGGTTTCAAATAATGAGAAACTGGAGGAATGGCTGGTCCTAGCGGAGGTGAATCACTCATGTGATTCGTGGTAACCACGTACAGCTGCAGGTGACACCTCGAAGGGAACAGAAGCCTGTGCCAGGCCAGTGCTGCTCTGGGCACGGCCTCCTTTCTAATTTCATCACCAAAATTTCACTGCATTACTGCTAATGTGGCAAGCAGATGTCCTTAAGCATTCACGCTGTCACTGGCAGGCAGCAGCTAACCCTGGTTTTTTAGCCCTGTTTTTTTTGTTGTTTAGAAGAGTCTGAACACCCACGATTTTAAATGTGAGAAGTTTATTCTTGTCATTTCCAAATGTTTTCTTTAGTTGTTCTTTCCTTGCCATCTATTTTTGGCTTAAATTATGATCAACCACAAACACTACCAATGAGGCTTGTGTGTCAAGTCAGAGCATCAGATCAGAGCTGCCCCTGACAGTGGGTCTGTAAAACCTCACTGGCTCCTTCCCACCGAGGAGGATGCACTTTTGTGTGGCTCTTGTTTGGTTTTCCCCTCTTGAATGTCTTTTTGTGAGCTGGGAAAGCTTTCCAGCAGTCTGGACACCTGGCCCATCACCAGCCCCACGACGCCTGTTGCACATGGACCTCCATGGATGTGCAGGTGGGCCAAGTGCATGCTCAGCCTTTGAATCCCCCTTCCCAGTGCCTCAGCTTCCCTCTTACAAAAGAGAAAAGTGGATTAACTTTGGTCTTGGGCTGGAAAACACATCTCCTCAACCTCTGTGACCATGTCCCATGCTATTCCTTACAGGGGATGTGCCCTTTGCACCAAATCCTACAATCTCTGATCACTCTCCCCTGCACCCTCCGTGGGTTATGTCCCAATGCCTCCCAGCTCCCAGCTGGTGTCTCGGTGTCCCAGCTGGTGGTGGTGCATGGTGCTCCAGCTTGTCCAGCTCTCAGTGCCAGGCAAGGTCCCAGGCAGTGCCTTGTCCTACTATGCGGTGCCAGGGCAATGCTGGGCCAAGTGCCAGTGCCTGGAAGGTCCCAGTGGCAGTGCCAGTGTCCGGGTATGCAGGTGCTGGTCTCAGTTCCAGCTCCCAGCTAGTGCTGCTGGTGTCAGGGTAGCCCCAGTTCCCCATTCCTGTTCCCTACCCAAACCGGTGCCAGCTCCTGTTCCCAATGACGGGCCCATTTTCTGGACGATGCCAGGTCCTGGTACCCAGGCAATGTTGGACCCTGATCCCGGTTCACCAGACTGGTCCCCAAGTCCTGGACCAGCGCCAGCTGGCACCGTTCCCATTTCCCCCTACCGGGTGGTGCCAGTCCCCACTCCCAGTAGCGACCACAGTTCCCAGCAGTGGGGAGCGCCGGTTTCCGGCGCAGGTTCCCATTCCTAGTGAGAGTTCCCGGTGCCGGTTCGCTGTCCGGTTCCCGATCCGGTTCCCGGTTCCCATTCCCGATCCCAGCGCCGGTTCCCATTCCCGGTGCCGGTTCCCATTCGCGGTGCCACTCGCAGTGCCGGTGCCGGTTCCGCGGCGTGTCCCGGCGCCGGTTCCGCGGCGCCCGGAGCGCGGGGCGCAGGCGCGGTCCCGGTCCCGGCCCGCCCGTCGGGGCGGTGCTTGCGGGAGGCGAAGCGCTGCGGGCAGCGGCGCGCCCGGAGCGGCGGCACCGGCACGGGCACCGGGCACCGCTCCAGCCCCGGGCAGGTAAGGCGCCCCCCGGCCCCGGGAGGGCTGGCTCGTCCCTGCAGCCCCGGCGCTGCTCCCGCCGCGGGGGGACGGCTCCGCGCCCCGCCCGGGGTCCCGCCGCGTCCTCGGGGGATGCTCGGGGGCACCTGTGGCTTTGGGAGCCGCGCAGCAGCTGCACTCCGGGGTGGGGGCGTGTGTGTTGGTGTGCGAGCGTGTGTGTGCCTAATGCCTAAAGGGATTTTGGGGAAAAAAGCCCGAAGCGGGCACCCTGCTCCTCCCCTGCGCGGAGCACGCTGCTGCCTTTGCCTTCAGCAAGCGCTGGTGTGAGCGCCGGTGTTTGGGGGTGCTGAAGTCGGGGTACTCGGCGTGGTGCATGGGAAAGTTGCATCCCAGATGGTTAAAACCCCACAAGTGCCCCCCAGTTCAGCTTGTGGAGCCGGGCTGGACGGAAACTTTGAGCACCGGGGCCTGGGTGCTGGCTGGAGAGCAGCAGGATTTCTGCGCTGAGAAAAAATCCTGAGGTTTCAGTATTGTTCTTTGTTCCATTTTTTTGGGACAAACGCAGGGCTTTTGGAAAGTCTCCTGGAAAGTTAAGGCGAGAGAGAGCTCCGGCTCTCAAGAAAGGCTAACTCGCTGCTGGGGTGCAGGATACTGAATGGCTTTTGGGGTTTCCAAGCTGAGATAGGAATCTGGATTCCCCAAATTCCAGTCTTTCCTCCCTTCCCTGAAACATGTTATTTTGAGCTTGAGACACCAGCTTGGTGCTTTCTAGCAGAGGGTGTCCCACGGGATGTGGCTCTGGTATTCTGTCCCTGGCCTCCCACTCTGGTGGCTGCAGGTGAGCGTGGGCTGCACGCCTGGCTCTGCAGATCCAGCCTGTGTCGTGCTTGGATAGATAACCAGTTATTTATCACCAGTTACCATTTCTGCCTGGATGCTGTGCTGGCTCTGAGCTTGGTGGGGAGTGCAGCCATGGCAAATGGAGCTGGAAGCAGAGCAGGGAGCTCAGTGTGTGGTGGAGAATGCTCTTAAATCCTCAGCTGCTTGTCTTCTGCATCCAGCAAGGACCTTGCTGCAGGCTTTCCCCAGGGCACCTTTTATCTCCTTCCCATCTCGTATCTTCATGGATCCTCCTGCCCAGGTCCGCCTGCGTTCCAAGCGTGCTGAACCGCTGTTAAACTGGAAGGGAAGGCAACACAGGGTCCCTGGAGCTGCATCTCTCACCCCTTGCTCTGCACATGGGTAGCCCAAGGTGCAGGGAGCCTGGCTGGCCCTGCTGCTCAGAGTAGCAGTGAGTTGAGGAGGAACAAATTTTGGGATACAGGTGAGAGCAGGAGTCACCTGTTGGCAGTATCCTTGGGGCAGCAAGGACTAGGGCAGAGGAAAAGCAGCAGAGTCAGGTATGGATGGAGGTGCAGAGCCTGATGCAAGTGCTCACCACTCACTCCTGCTCAGTGCAACATATTGCTACAGGTATATCTGTCCTGGTGGGTTCTATTTCCACCTGCTCTTCTCAGGAACATCAGCTGCCTCCTGCTTATTTAAGCAACTCTTTCATGTGAATCACCTGGAGCTCAGCTCCAGCCCATGACCCAGGCAGTGGGGTTGTAAAACCCAAGAGGGAATGAGAGATGCTCTTTCAGAAACCCTTTTTGTACCCTTAGGAGTGGGATGTGAGGTCTGAACCCCTCCTGCATGGGTGCCTGTGTACAGGTGCTGCTGTGTGCGTGGGGGCTGGCTCGCTCGGTGGCTGGTGCTTACCAGCAGCTATGTGCCAGAGCTGGTTGGGAAAAACTTTCTTGTTGGCACCAGAATTAAGGATCAAGTCATGAGTGAAAGGAAAAGCAGGTTTTGAGGAAGCCAGCAGGGCTTGCTCTAGCAGGCCCTGCTCAGAGTAGAAATCAAGTCCCTTTGTCATGTTGTAAGGACACCATGATGACGCGCAGAAGGAATAATGCCATCTGCAAAGCAGTGACACATGAAATAGGGGCAAAGTGATGTGACCAAGGCAGTCAGGTTTGTGGCAGACTCAAGTCCAGCCTGCTCCCTGTCATCAGCACCCCAGTCCCTGTATGAAATTACTTAGGTGTGGCTTTGACATGGCCACAAGCCTGGGAAAATCCCTGCCCAGCTGCTGTGTCCACCACAGCATTTTCTGTTCAAGGGAGCTTTCAGCTGGTGATTGACAACTGCCATGGGTGTTCTCAAGCCTCTGAGGTGGAGGGAGATGGAAACCCAGAACTATTACTGAAGGGGACTGGCCTGTAGCTGTGCTGTCATTTTTGGGGAAAGGAGATGCTCCAGGTCTCCTTTACCTGGATGTGCTGGCAGTTTACACGGTGCATGTGGGAGCATGTCAGGGGAGAAGATTTCTGCCAGGGGGGGCTGGGGGAGGTGACAAAGGGCACTGCTGGACAGATTAGGCCCACGCAGCAGAGCTTAAATCTGCTTAAAGCCTTTAAGGGAGGATCTGAGCTCATTCTCATTTTTCATGCTGAGATCCGCCTGCGAAACCAAGCTGAGAGGTGGATGGGGTGCTCGGCCAGAGGCAACAGCTGAGCTCAGGCTATGGGGCTGGCCCCTAAATTGTACACCAGCCTGTACAGTGGGACACACTGTGTCTGGTCTTTGTGCCTTGTTTAGAGATTGAATCATATTGGGATAGCTGAGACTGGGGGTTCAGGGCTGCTTTGGTCTTGGGTGCCCCTAGGGGTGTTGCAAAAAGGCGAAGGGAGACAGGCAAAGGGTGTTTGTGGGACATGGGCACGGAAGAGTTAACGCGGAAGGACCAGGCTCTTCGATCTGGTGCTTGAGAGGGATTAAGTCAGCCTGGAGCAGGTGCAGGGAAAAGGGCTCTGAAGCTGCTCAGAGGGATGGAGAGCTATTATACGAGGCTATAAAAGCCAAGCCCAGCGAAACAAAGGCAGAGAGAGGATGTGCTTGCTGACTCCAAATATATCCGAGGGGTGAGCTCCAGGCAGGCAGAAGAGCGATTTAAACTGAGGGCAGTGTTGGTGCTGGGGTGCGAATTCATTCAGTTTAGTTTAGGAGGTTTGTCTAGAGGCTCTGCAACTGTGTCACACCAGAGGAGAGTGGGAGGGTGTGAATTAGAGCACATCACCTCTCTTGCAAGGTGCTTGGCTGTGATACAAGGAGGTCTTAGCATTTGTCAGTGTGGGAGGGCAGGGCTCTGTGGTCCAGACACCCTGTCCCGGTGTCTCCTTTGGGAAGGGCTGTGTTAGCCAAGCAGGTCTCACCATCTTCCTGATGTGGGACCAGACCAGCCATGAAGCAGATGATGCCCAGCTGAGATATTTTTTGTGTTTGATTATGCCTGAGAAAAATGAATCCATCTCTCTCTTTCCTGGTTGCTGCACGGATTAATAACAAAGCATCCATGCTTTAAAAAAGGCTTTGGCTCTGATCCCAAGAGGAATTTAGGCAGTATTTGTGCTGGGTGATGATGATATGAAGAACGAGTGCATCCTCTAAATCTGCTCACGCTTGTGCATTAATTATTGGATATTTTTGGCTGTCCAGAGATGCCAAGATTCTTCTCCTAATGCTCTCTCCAAGCAGGGCAGCATCAGGTTAATACAGAGAGAAGGAGAAGGATGCAGCTGTGCCTTGAAGGCTGGGATCAGGCGCTCTCTCTTCCTCCTCGCTAATCTCCAGAGTTGTCAAGTCCTTTCCCTGCAGATGTCCAGAGGTGAAACCCCTTCCTTGGAGAAGCCTCCTCAGCCCACCCAGAGGTGTTTGTTGCCCTCTGCTCGTGCCGTGGTGGGGCAGAGCACACTTGGGCACCGTTTACTTACTTATGTCTTCATGCCTTCACCTTCAGCTGCTCCTCGGAGGGGCTGTGGGGCACAAAGCCTCGGCAGTGGGCTTGTGCTGGCCTGCTGGGGCCAGACAGGGCTCCTGCATCTCCCAGCCCCGGGGGCACTGTCACGGGTGGGGAACAGGGGCGGTGATCACTCGCTCTGCTCACTTCCAGCTGATTACCCAGGGAGAAAGGACCAGGCTCTGGGCACTGCAGAAAAGGGACGCAGACCCAGGGGCTTCATGGAAGCTACGTTTGTCTGGCTGCATTAACCCTTTACCTGCTCTGAGCTCTCCCTTTCACCATGGAGAATTTTCATCCATAACTTATTCCTAGTAAATTCGCGTGCACTGTAGGAGACACCCCTTCGACATGGGGGTGACTTCTTGAGGTTGTGGAGGGAAATAGGGATGGTTGCCATTGAGTTTTTCACCCTCTCTGGGAAAAAATCCTTTCTGGTCCACTCTGGGGCCAAGGAGACTTCACAGTTTTTGCTTTTCTGCGTGATGCATTGGTTTTTCAGCCAAAATTGCAGATCCTCATGCTTTGGGGATCTTCCTGGACTGGAGATGTGACAGATGATACCCCTGCAAAGCCGTGCTGGGAGCCCGCGGGGTTTGCAGCATCTAGGTCAGAGCCTGGCTCCTTTGGGCCTGGTCCAGCCCTTCAGAGGGGCTGGACTGAGCTCCTAAGCCCCTGCCTGCAGCTTTTGTGTCCCAGTTCAATAACACTTTGATGCATTTTGCCTTAAAATACTCTTCTGGCAGAGAAAAGCTCTCCCTGCCCCTTGGTTTGCCCTTGTGCAGAAATGACCAGTTTTAGTCATTCCACCATCCATCTGAGCATCAGCTCTGTTCCCTCCTGTCCTGTGACTTCGATCCATTGGGAACCAAGGTTAAAGGGAGAGGGGACTATAAAGCATCCCAACCACCTAAAGTCTGCCCCATGCTGGGAGGCTGGAAGCCTTAATGTGAAGCTCTGAAATTATTTGTGGGAGAGGGCTCCTTCTCCGTACCATGCAGGGATTTTCCCAGCTTATCACAGCCCCCAGCAGTAGACAGATGTGTTGGAAAGACACCAGGAGAGGCCATGAAGACAGTCAGAGGACTGGAGCACCTCCACTATGAAAACAGGCTGAGGGAGCTGGAATTATTCAGCCTGGAGAAGAGAAGGGTTCAAGGAGACCTTAGAGCATGTT